ACTAAAGATTATATATTTCTTCAAAAAATGCAAGGTAAGATTGTAGAGTAAAATTAGTTATGCCAAGAATTAAAAGAAATTATGGACAAATGTCAAACAAGAGTAATATATTATGACCCGTCCATCTTTTTTCAATATAATTGCACGTGATAAATAACATGTATTGATTAATTTTTTTAGGCCCATGAAAATAATTTCATATGGATTGATCATTATATCCCCAACCATGAAGATGTAATTGATAACGATGATCTGTGACTAAAAACAAGTTTTTTTAGAAATGATTTTAATTATTAAGTGAGGGGCATATATTTGTTAAGTGGTTTAAACTTATTTGACAGATCACAATTATGTATGATCAATGCTTGGTTTAAATGTTTAAGGGTCGGACTATAATACCCAAAAAAAAAAAAAAAACTTTAACCAATCAACCAGCATCATAAAAGTAGTACCCACTAAACAATCGGGTGGATTGCCATAAAAATTCATAGAGGGTTTGATTGGTTAAAAGTCTTTTTTATATATATCATGTATTTTCGGCATCATAGATTTTTTCAATATTAAAGTAGTATTTTTATGGTTGTCATTTACAAAATCGGGAGCACTAATCCAAACACCATACTCATAGTGTGAAGATGATTCCTTTTTAATTTTTTCTCAAAATAAGAAATAGCCAAAGAGAGACTTAGTATGCATTTGGAATCGTGAGCTTTTATTTACTAAACATTTATAATTTATTTGTTTGTAAAATCGGGGAAAGCAATAATGAACCCATTTATTGACACTTAGGTGTCATTAGGCACCGCATCAGCAAAATAGTGAATAAACGCCTATCTATTGAGGGTGCGCACATAAATCAATACTTGCTTTTGCAAGTTTTTATGTATACGAATCCGCATAATGAAGCAAATGCTAAAGTGGCATCTATATAACAACATTTATTCAATAAATGCCCATGATTCCAAACACCGCCTTAAATCTGCCATGAAAATTGGATGTACAAACAATGTGTGCACATGACAGTTGCAACTTTTGTAACGGTTAAGATTGCAGAATAGATCGGGAGCAAAATAAAAAATTGTCATTGTTAGATTTGTGTAATGGGTATCATGCCTTGACCACGCGAGCATGCATATGAGTGAGAAATGAGAAAATCTTTCATTTGTTGTCTGCTTTTTCTTCTCCGCCCTCCCACCTGGCCACCAAGACAAGAGGAGCCAAGGCCATACTTTTTTAAGTGGAATCCTACATCTTTCACTCATTTTAGAATTCATGATTGCAGTTGTTTTTGTTTTCAAAACAAAATCATTCACATTAACCACTATCCCTAAGTTGACCGACTCACTCGTAGGGTCCTTGATAATTCATTTATTTTATTTAGGTAATAAAATCAATTTAAATAGATGTGCTTGTATGTATTGTTTTTCATGAAATTTAATCAGGTATATTTATAATTATGAATCTTCACTTGAGAAAATTCTTTTATCTAAATAGAAGATGAATATATCACTTATCCGGATAAATAATATCTATGAAAAATGTGTTTACTTGTACGATTCATCGTTATTGTTGATTAACGGAAATACTTTTTAACTGACCAACTTACCCTCCCTCTTGGGGCCTAGGTGACTCATCGCATACTCCCTTCATCCAATGTACATACGTACTTCTGAAATGCGGTTGGAATAGAACTTTTTGGCGAGATTATATCTGCACCCACCCCACATATACATCAGTCGGAGATATTTCAAATACACGGTTGAGATGTGCTGTGGGGCGCCTTCTATGGGGTGCAGATATAAATTCGTTTTCCCCAAGCTTTTAAGTCCCGATGCGTGAAGGAATAACATGATGGCCTCTTTTAACACTTTGGAGGCTTTCAATTCAACACAGCTGTCCTGGAAAGATACTGGTGAAGGTGATATACTGCCATGCGTAAGGGCTCGCGCTAAATAAATTGTGGGCCCTTTTATTGGGAGGAATTAGATTCTGAGTTCTGATAGCCGAGTTGGTTCATCTGCTTTCAAGAAATTTTATCAAATTAACATTGCTTATAGGCTTTCCCACCTTCCAAAGCCAAAAGCCACGGTGTGAAAGCCGTTTCAAATGGATACTGGGTTACTTAAACGCTAACATGATGAACAATGATTGCCTCCAAAGCTTTAGTGTCTGAGTTCTTTGTCAAGAAAAGGAACACCATCCAAACGTCAACACAAGTGGAAGCACAGTTGTTACCGTTGTTTTTTAATTTTAATGGTGGGCCATTGTATGAATTCAAAGCACATGAAAATTTTAAAATTGTAGATGGCTTAATTTAAATGGTTTGCCATTATAATAACATTGGGTTAAGGACAGATTGGTCAATACCCCAAGCAGGACTGGCAATGGGCTCCATGTTCTGTCCAAACCCAGCGGCCCAGCCCGGCTTCAAGAGTTAGGCCTATTAGTTTTAAGCCTAACCTAAGAACCTGTTTGGAAGGGCTTCTACAGTGATGGAGCTGCATTGACTGAGCTGTTTCTGATGTTTCAGAGAAGTTAGTTACTTATGATAGTTTCATCAGAAAAATTGATTTTGTGACTCATGGAAGTCTTTTTTTTCAGCTTTCCGGATTTTTACCAAACAAGGCTTGCCGTTTTTTTCAGATTCATTGGCTCTTGTAATTCCAGAATCTGCTGCATGAAAGCCTTCCCAAACAGGCAATAATTAAGAATGACTTTATGAATTATGATATAAGTTAATTCAACCCTCGCCCGGCCTGGCCAGGTCCGGTCCGGTAGTATACATGTTCTACTCTACTACCTTAATACTTTCTTCTTTTTCTTTCTGTAAGGATAATTTGTCATGGGTTTTTGGTCCATTTTCTTAATAATCCATTCATTTTCATAGTTTTTTGTTCATAAAAAATATTACAAATATTACATATAACCGGGTAATGGTCCCATCCTTAGCGTAGGGACAATTTTATAATATAATAATAATCAAGGTTTTTAAAACCGAACCGACCAGTCAGAGATCTGGTTTCCAAAACAACGGTCTGACTGTTTGAATCGAACAGATGATCTATTCTAACAAAAAAATTAAAAAAATAAAAACGACCAAAACCGTTAGACGATTTGAACGATTCAATCACCCGAATCAGTGATTTACTGACCAAATCAACAGTTTTTGGCAAAATAATAATTATGGGATAAAATAGAACCGATTACCTGACCAGTTTCCAGTTTTTCTGGTTCAATCCAGTTTTGAAAACCATGATAATAATGATTAACTGATCATATATACAATGATACAATAATTAATTCATGTAATACCTTATTTAATTTTCAGTTATAAATTGAATGGCAATGAGATAGTTGAAAGTTTTTGTTAGGGAATCAAGTTTAGAATGCGAATGACTTGTAAACATGGCAAGTTTGAAAAATCACACCTTTTTCTGATGAGAAAAGGAAGGATCTGGCCATGTGGGCTAGAGAAAAACCAGCCTGATGGTCTCAGTCTCAGCAGCTCAACTTTATTATATATCTTTATAAAATATATTAATACGGTTGCCTTGACCTCACATCAATACCACAATCACCCCAGATTTTTAGTTCATTTATTTGTATCTCTACCCTCTTTCCCTCTTTCATATGCAAATATCGCTTCAGACCCCTTATAGTCTCTGCTAGGGCTGAAATACCAAAGGAGAACACATGCATGCATTATATAATAATAATAATAACAATAATAATAATAATAATAATAATAATAATAATAATAATAATAATAATAATAATAATAATAATAATAATAATACATTAATTACTAGAATTGTAGAAAGTTTCACGTGCACTATTTGACATAAGTTTTATTAATGAAAATTATAAAAATAGTCCCATCTATCTTGTTTCGAGGGTTTTTTTATTTATGGTCAATTAATGAAAAAATATTCTAAGAAAACAATGAGTCAAGTCTTACTAGTTATGACTCTAAAAGTGTGGGTTTGCTTTGCTTATAAGATAGTAATAGATATATACCAAGAGAGATGGGGAGTGTGCTACTATTTTGGGAGCAAACTTGAAAAAAAAGAAGATAGGAACTTTAGTGTTACTCGAAAAGGCATGAACTAAAGATGGAGAAGGAGAAACATAGCTCAATCCTTAAGCCATTGATTAATAAATCTAATGGACGACCAGTCCCCAACATTTAAGGGGTCCCACTTGGGGGATCATGGAGGTTTTGCAAACTGTATAATGACTTTTTTTTTTTTTTTGAATTCAGCTTTTCAATGAATAAAGGGTCTGAACCTTGGATGGAATTCCCCACCCAGGGATAACAGATATTTAAATTTTCAGGGTTTCTTGGTTTAATTAGAAATAAGATATGGATATGAGAAATGAGGGCTTTGATTGATAATGGACCTTAAGTGGAGTTTGGGGGTATTTATTTGAAAAATAAATGCTTATTGAGCAAGTGCTGATTATTCTATTAAGTATTTATGAGCGTTTAGTAAATAAACACTTATTTCAAACAGGGGTAGTATAGGTATTTTCAAAATAACGTGATGGCCAAAGATATGCCAGAAAGAAACTAAATACTTAAAAATAAGTTCAAATTTGAGCTTCTTATAAGTGTTTATTCCCAGGAATAAGCACTTATTTAGGCTTATTTCCAAAATGCAAATAAGTACTTATTGGTGTGATCCTGACCCAATTTTAATACTCCCAAACTTAGCCTTAGGCACCACAACATACATTTGCTGGGCCTTGGTGGGTTTTCCCTTTCATGTGGTCGAACCGGTTTATTTGTGCAAAGATTAAAAAATTAATTAATTAATTAACACTCATTCAAAAAAATAATTAATAAACATCAGATATTAAACAAAGAAAAAGGGAGCTAATAAAGCGAGGAAAGGAGCGGGTTAAAAATACATAATAAAAATATAAAATCAATAAAGAATAAAAAAGTAGTCTAGAGTCTGATGAGTCTGTGTGTAGAAGACCAGAAGTAGAAGTAGACCAGACCACAATGAATTTGCTTTTCCGCTAACCTTCGCTTAAGTTATATGGATGATGGTCGCATCCACGCTCCATACTCCAACGGTTAAAAACTAACGTCTCTCCCTCTCTTGCTTCTCACCAAACGCACTGGTGTGAATGAAACCTAGATTATCTTTCTTCCTATCTAAGATTTTTCTTCTCCGAAATCTTATATGTGACTGTTCTCGTACTAACGACAGGTTGCGTAGCTCCAACCACAACTTCCCAGAAGGTCAGAATTTTTTCGTTTTTGAATTTTCATATTTTCCGCGTTCTTAGTGAATTCCCGAAAATCCCATCTCTTGTGCGTTCTGGGATTTAACAGAAATCTCTCTTTCTCTCTCTGCCTCTCTCTCCCTCCATCTTGAGTGGTTTGTTTGATCGATTGCTAAATATGGGCAAATGGGTATGAGCTAAATGTGCGGTTTACGGCTCAACTTCCTGAAAAAACTCCTTTGTTTTTCTTAACCAGAGAATTTCCCCTCTGTTTTTGTGCTTATAGATTTATAGGTTGTTGTTCTCCCCACGTATGGTTTCTCAGCCTTGTAGGAGGTCTCTAAATATAGGGAAAGAGAGACAGAGAAGTTGTGGGTGTTTCTGTTTGTCATCCGTCAACCCTTCAACTTCAAAGGCGTGATGCGTCTATTCCTGCCAGACTGGACTGGTTTGCACAAGGAAAGATTGAATTGAAGAGAAGATGGGTTTTGGGTATTTATGTTCTCCACCTCTCCACTCTTGCTTCAATTGGGTCCATTGTAGTCTGGTCGAATTGCCTGGCTAAGAAGATATTGAGCTGAGAAAGAACTGATATTGATAGTTTGGATTCCAATGGCTTCTTCTCACGTTGAGGTTTCTTCATCGCCTTTTGGCTGTGTTCTGAGGGATCACAACCGAAGACGCAGAGACAGAGAAAGAGAAAACAATGCCAGATCCCAAGCAGCTTTCCAGAAGAACCTCAAAGAATTCGTCAACGATCATATCCATACCCGCATTTCCCTCCCTGGTCAAAGAGATTCTGAAGCTGTTTCCAATGAGAACTCTCAGTATCTGGTCGAGAATCGGGATCGTTGGGGCAGAGACAATGAGAGGAACGTGCACAATTTCCGGCGGGCGAGCAGTAGGGAGGATATGAGAGTAGAATCTTCGGCCATGAGACGAAGGCAGTCACGGCTACTTGATCAGTGGGCTGCTCAACAGGCCCGAGAAATGATAACCACGATTGAGAGGCAGAGGTATGAGGCAGAGCTGTTGGCTCTCTCCAATTCACACCCTGTCTCCACAAGGCAATCAGCATTCCTAAGAGAATCCTCTCCTGCTCCATCAGATACTTCTTCCATTGATGTCCCAAATCTGCGGGCTTCTTCCCTTGTTCAAATGTGGAAAGAGTTTGAGGCAGAAGCAAGATCGAGACCCAGGAACCAACCTTGTTGCATAAATTCGATCAGCAGGACCAGCTCCATAATGAGCAGCCATGTTGAGAATGCTTCTTCATATGCGGAAGAACCCTCTATCGTCGGCTCTGAATTTTGTGATTCTGCTGATGAACGATATATTCCTGAGGATTCATACGCGGATTCGGAGTCTGAGCAGGCAGCTCCATGTGATTTACCCTCATCATCACAGGGCCACCATGGAAGAGGAAGCGAGAGGGTTAGAGTGGCAGATATCATAAGAAGGTTAACTTCTGGGAATTGGACCCAGAGTTCAGCCACATACTGGAGCGATGAAAATGATGGGGAGCATTCAAACATCATTGAACCACCACCGCCACCTCATGAACACTCTGCTGCGTCAGAACGAAGAGAACAATTGAGATTTCCATGTGCCAGAAATCGTCCTCGGGTGAGAGGGCGCAAAGCGATTGTTGATCTGCTCATGCATATGGAGCGCGAGAGGCAAAGGGAGCTTACCAGGCTGGTTGAGCGCCGTGCAGTATCAAGGTTCCCACAACGGGGTCGCATTCAGGTGAACAGAACTGAACTGCTTAGGGTCCGTTTCGTTTGATTCGCAGTGGAATTGGAAACGGAATTTAAATTCCTCCGAACTGGAATGATCTATTCCCATTGTCTGTTTGGTTCCGACAGGAATTGGAATTGGAATCAGATGACATGGCATTTCATTCCCAACTCCCAAGTCTCAAGGGAGGGGAGGGAATTGCCATTCCCTCAACCTCAAATGAATGGGAATGGGATTCTAATTCCGTCCAACCAAATAATTGGAATTCTGCCATTCCCATTCCCATTCAAGACCCTATTCCCGTGAATCAAATGGGCCCTTCCTTCTCTTTTGACAATCGTTTTTCTTCCCTTAGGACATTATATTATAATGACTTCTTGTATGTCACTACATGTTCAGTCATTGCTCAGACTCAGATGCCTACGTGAAGTTGCGGGTCAAGATCAAAGGCATCCAGATCCACCAGCATCTGAACGGAACCAAATGCAGCGGAGAACTCCCATCAGGTTTCTAAGGTACAACTAATGTTATTTTAACTTTTGTTTCAACAGATGAAGTCTTGAAAAGACCACTCAATCTACATTTGGTTTGAGTTCTATTTTGTGTCTGACTAGGATTCTACACATGTTTTGCATACTCTAATTGTTAAATGAATAGGAAAGCAAATTATGTTTATGATAGGAATTAATTATGTTGCAGAATGAACAAACCTCTAGGAAGTAGGAACTATAAAAGATTGACAAGTAGAGAATACAAGGGAAGAAACGCAGAATATAACTCAAAGCAGACGCAAAGATTTACGTGGGTTGGCTTATAGCCTACATCCATGGGCATTAGAGGAGAAGAACTCCACTATATAACAGTAGAAATTATAGTCATAGTGTTTACTACCTTGATACCTCCCTCACCAAAACCATGACTCCCAATACACCCAAACCACCCTTACTCTGTCGAACTATCTCACACAATCCCGCCTTCGTTCTTTTCTTGACTCTCAAGAGACAAGATGGCTTGTGATATGAGAAAGCCCTAACCAGGTTGGCCCCCATTAAATTGGAAGAGAGACACGGGTAAAAAAAAATGGAAAAGTACGGACAGGCCCAATGTAGATTTCTGAATTCCACTGCAAAGCTATATACATTTAAAATGTCAAAAACCCACACTCTATACACCAATGCCCGCTTGTGATTTGGCATCAATTTCGAGCTGGCACCCACTCCAACTATACTTTGGACCCAAAAATTCTGACCCTGGGCTGAACCGTCATTCTCCCAAAAAAAAAAAAAAGAACCCATGGACATGTGACTTGTCAAGCTAGCAAGTCCTTCCTATGAATCATCTAAGCAACTATTAGTCCGTACTGAGCCTCTACCCCTGCACCCCTAGTGTGGCCCAAGCCTGTAACCCACCATTGACCACTATGAAATTTTGCCTTCAGGTTTTTCTCAACTTAATTCAGGTCGGATTAAACTGGAATTCAAAGCACCAACAAAACGGATTACAATCTCAATAAATGAAAAGGATAAAGATCTGAAGAATTGACATTGAAAATTAAGACCAGTATATATAGTACAACAGAAATATGTCTTTTGAGGTACTGATACAGTGAAAGCATTAATAGGGTGTAAATGTTTACACCCTGTTTATATGCAAAATTATTAGTGAAAATGTGCAATGATCTTGTGGTGTAACATTTACAAACTGATTGTGCAAGAGATTTACATCCTCTAGTTCTTCTTTCATGGTAATATGAAGCAGGCGTGCTAGTTTATAAAATTATAAGCTTCCCTAAACAACCTAGGAGTCTTACATGCGGCAAATTATTTTTGAGCTTAAAAGAGTCTTCAACTTCCTCTCACTATGCTCTCTTCATAGAAAAAAATTCTGCCCTAGACACCTTGCCACTTATGCAAAATAACCTATTTTTTTATGAATGCAAAATAACCTAATTTTTATAGGTAAGTTTTAGTAAAAATATAAAATTTGGAATGGTTAATATTATTTGCAAAAGCCACCAATACAAGGTAGGGGGACATGGCCAATATGAACAATTGAATTGAACATTTGGCCCAATCCATTGGGTCCTCTAGTTGTTTCTGACATTCTGTATCTGATGTGGGCACCGGCAGCAGCAACAGTAATTTAGTGCAGCAGCAGCAGTAATTTAGTGTTCTCATCCGATCTTATCTATTCAATATTCTTACCTTATCTGCTTTCAGTAGCAGGGATTAGTAGGAGTCTTATCTATTCAGTGTTCTTATCTTATCAGTTCA